AAGCAGTAAAGACCATTAGAAAGTCTTTGTAAAAAAAATTTTATCCAAAAATGCACTCTGGGCTTTCCTTCAGTTATCAAACCTGGGGGAAGTGAGGCAGGGACACATGCTTTCCTGGAGACTCACTGTAGCACAATTCCTGCCACCCACGCCAAAGCCCTTCCTGGGTACAACCCTTTTTAAATGAAGTCCCAAAGGGATTGAGAGCACATCAAAGTCTCTACCATGAGAAATACAGCAAAGCGACAATTAACTTGAGTAATGTTTTCAAAACTCTTGCTGATTTTTTTTTGCCACTCCAGGTTATGTTCATAACATGATTTTTTTAATTAGCGAAGAAAGAGGTTTTCATATTTGTTCAAACTAAGAGCATGAAGGCATGTTTGCATAAAAAGATAGAGGTGGTTAATGCTTTTTACTATTTTCTAATATTCTTATACCAGATTTTTAAATGACTGCTCTACAGCCCCATTCTGCTCACTTCCTAGAGTCTGCAGAGAAGTCTGTAATTATTATTTAAGGATTGTGGTGGTGATTCCCTTCACTGCACGGGGGAAAAAAAAGAAAGCAAAATCAGAGCTATTATCCTGTGTTTATAACAAGTCTATTACCATAGTAACGCCTGTGATGTCACAAACGGTACACCAGGGGCCAGAGGCTCTTTCTGAGAGGGGAAGGGCAGGTTAGCCTTGGAAGATGGACACAAACATGTGAGGCCATAGCAAGGTCAATACTGTGATGATCATCAAAAGACAACAAGCTCTCCTTCTCCAGAGGAAAGGGGGACAGGGCCAGAAGAACAGTTCCCCGAGCCCAGAAGTAAGCTACGCCCACTCCTCTTTACGCAGCTGTGCAATAGGAATGGAAATCCAAGCAAATGTGGTGTCACTGTGTTCCCAATCACAAGTATTCCACAGGGCCCACTGGCTGCCAAAACATGGACTGGGCCCAGTGGTGAGTCTGCCCGAGCACATGAAACACTGCTGGGAACCAGCGTCTGGCCAGATAGTACACTCTGGTACCCCAAAAGAGAAGTGACTGCCTCATATTGGCAAACCCTTGAAAACCCAGCTAGGATATTACCCTTACTAGGCCATCAGGCCCATAGACCGACAGAGTCTCAGACTTAGAGAAGCCTCCCCAAAAGATGTGGACTTTCAAAATAGCCTTTTGAAGGAAGAAACTATATATCCTGTCACTGGGATGTCCAGAAGCAGTACATGAAAAAGCATTATTATTCTGAGATGGTCTAGTGAAATTTTGTTGAACAGGCTGAAAAAGCAACTTGTATTAAAAAGAATATTCATTGAACTAGGAGCCAGAAGACCTAGTAATAGTCTTGGCTTAAGTGGTTAGAAGCCACAGGACCTTAAGAAAGCTACGTAACTTGTTTGAGTTTCAATTCTTTATTTAATGTATCTGACATAGTATTCCTCAAAGTTACTGTAAATACAAAATTAAATAAAATAAAGAACATGGGTGAGTTTCACAAACTATAAAGAATGTAATGCAAACCTAAGGCATTCTTATTAGTATTTTCACATAGCAAGTTTATAGTACAACAGGAATAATTTGAACTCTAACAGTTATCCAGAGGATTCATATCATCCTCATCTTCCTTACTTGAAAGGTGGATACCTATAATCTATTCAGGGGCTTTAGCAGTGGTTCATTATCCTCTAGCCATTGGATCCTTATTAGTTCTCTTCAGGAATGCACATTAACCTACATATGACTCAAATACTGACAGGGAGTGTACCTCAATTTGATTATCTTGAACAAAATTCTGGTACAAGTTTTAGCAAAGGAAGAGTTGAAATGATTAACTGAACAGAAGCTTTTGAACCACATATGGACTTGACTTATCCACGGATAATTAACAACAATGGAATCTTCACTTTACTATCAAGAAAACTGTGGCCAAGATCAGGTAGGTTGTGACTAATGCAGACAAAATATTAACATCTTCTCAGTGAGCCATTTGTCTTACGTTTGTGCAATAAAATTTCAATATGTCATTTATTCATCAAATACTAGTGTTCCAGAGTTCACGACATATCCTGAAAACCAGTAAAAAAAAAAAAAAAAATCCACTATTTTCCCTGCTGTTTCTGTTTGTTCCCTCTTTACAATATTACATAGAACACCTTGCCAAGTCCATAGTCTGAAACTCAATTCGTCTTCCTGTTATCATAAGACTTGGCTTATTTTACCCTAGCACAAGCATTAGCATACTAGGATCCCAAGGCAAAACCCTGCCCACTGCCTTTTTTGTCAATAAAATTATATTGGAATAGAGCCACACCCATTAGCTTATATATTATGTATGACTGCCTTCCTACACCAATAGCAGCATCCTGTAGCTGTGATAAAACAAGCTCCTAGAAAGCAGAGAACCTTCCTGTGTCTCTGTGTTGTCATCTAGAACCCTCAAGATGGACAGAATGAAGGGCAGAGCAGATACAGAAAATTAAACACATCCTTCCCTACTTTTTGTTTTCCACAGATGAGCGCCTTGGAGTTCCATGGAAGACAGCATAAAACCACTGGTGTTTGGTTACTCTGGCTTCTAATTCCTCAGCGTTCCTATGTCTAAGACTTCCAAGACTCAATTTTTGGCCTCTGGCCCTTCGCATATTTATTTCCTGATCTGATGTGGAATTAGAGTTAAATAGGAGCTGTGTGCTTGAATTCCACGTGGCAGGCTCAGCAGGAAACTCCAGGGCAGGTTTTTTTTGGCGTGGCGAACTCATGTTAGCCTCAACTATGTTAATTTCTAAAGCTGTTTGCTTTGCTCAAATAAGCTTAGAGACAAATTTGCATTCAGATGCACACCTTTTTATGCACAAACTGTGCATGATAACTCTAGGGCAGAATAAGGATTGAAAAAAAAAGGTATGGTGTTCGCTAAATGGCTTTTGTGTGTCAGGCACTACGCTAGGTGTTTTACATAGATTTTCTCATCTCGACATGACTCTGTAAGGAGCACTGTGACTGCTATTTTACGGATGGGGAGTGAAAGGACAGCAGATGTAACTTGTCCGTGTTCACACAGCTGCCTAGTGGACACCTAGATCTGAACCCGATCTTTATCAATCCGGAGCTCATTTTCTTGTCACTTAACCATATACCTCATTGATACCCTCATCATTATCACCCTTCACCTAAGCCACAGAACACACATTGAAACATGAACTCAACATTTACAAAGTAAGTCATCTTTCCCCCTCAGTTGGCTATCTAAATAAAATGTGCCTTTGGTGCTTGAGATATAAATCTGTGTCCTGCTCTCTCACAAAGCAATCGTGAAAGGAAAGTAGGGAATCTTATGAAGGTAAACTTTGTATAATATACCAATTATATTAGTAATTAGTAGACAAACACAATTACAAGTAACAGGTAAGTGGATTTTGATGACCTATCTAAGAATCTCAACTTACTGCTAACATGTAGAAGACCAACCTGAGAATGTGGCCATAAACATGAAGAGAAATGTGAGCAATGCTTAGAATACAATATAAATGCATCTATAATATAAGCCTAGGAACTTCACCTACAATTTCTTTACAGTTTATGGAAACATAACCAAATACCTATCTTCCCTAATAAAAACACAGGCATTAACTTTAATATATTACAATAACCACTGCTATTGTAACTCAGCATTTATCATTGTTAGCATCTATACACAGAAAAATAACCAGCGTCGCAAGTAAGCATTCTAGCATAATTCCAACACTTTACAGCAAGGCAGGTAAAATATTATCTAACTTCTTGCTGTATGTGAAACGTATCTGTAGCTGGGCTTGCTATATCATAATGCTCAGCCCACTGCTATCTAGTTCTAAAACACTGCCATGTGACTTTCTGAAAATATAAAAGCACTGGTTACATTTTCACCCAAGTGAAATTCAGACCTCTAATATTTTAAGCTCTGAAAGACAGCTTTCCAGGAACTAGAAAGAACTCTATGGAGATGATGCATAATCTACCTTGTTTCTTGAATGGGTTTGAAGAAAGGTATGTTGAAGACCATGTCTATCACCTATCCTTTCACAAAACTACCCTTTCTGCAGAAATCCCAAGAGACCTGGCACTGCTTATGTACCACCCAGTTCAACCAGTTACTTTTTTTCTTACATCTTCTTTTTAAAAGACTATTTAATCCTTTTCTTAATTGGTGACTTCAGAGAAGCTGGTGGGAGAAAAAGTTTGCAGTCAATTAAAAGTTTATAGACTAAGAGTAGTAGATAAGAGAATTTTCCTACTATAGCAATAATACTTTAAATAATACATGTGCTAGTTTGTAATTGCTAAATTGTGGAAGCAACCCAAATGTCCATCCACCGAGGATTGGATAAGAAAATTGTGGTACTTTTATATAATGGAATATTATTCAGCTACGAAGAAAGACAAACTCAAGGCCTTTATAGGTAAATGGTCACAACTAGAGACGAAACTCCTAAGTGAAATAAATCAGACCTGCATGTGCAAGCACCACATTGTTTCACTAGGGTAAAACCTGAAAGAGTTAATTTAAACTAGGAGGTATGATAGACAT